TATTATTTTTTTTTGCAGCCATTGTGAAGGGGAGTGTGTCCATGTGCTCTTTTTCTGATAGCTTGTTATTGGTATATAGAAAAGCTATAGATTTTGTAGGTTAATTTTGTAGCCTGCGACTTTACTGAATGTATTAATAATTTCTAGGAGTTTTCTGGTGGAATTTTTGGCATCTCTTAGATATAATATCATATCATCTGCAAAAATGGATAATTTTATCTCTTCTTTTCCAATTATTATAACTTTAATTTCCTCCTCTTGTCTTACTGTTCTTTCAAGAGTTTCAATCACTATGTTAAAGAGAAGTGGAGATGTGGACAGCCTTGTCTGGGTCCTGATTTCAATGGGAATGCTTCTAGTTTTTCTCCATTTAGAATGATGTTGGCTGTGGGTTTGTTATATATGGCTTTAAATATGTTGAGATATGTTCCCTCCAGTCCAATTACCTCTGGACTTTGAACATAAATCCACATTGAATTTTGTCAAAGGCCTTCTCTGCATCTATTGAGATGACCATGTGGTTCTTGTCTTTGAGCCCATTTATATGATTTTTGACATTTATTGACTTACGTATTATTGAACCATCCCTGCATCTGTGGGACAAAGCCAACTTGATTGGATTATCTTTTTGATATGTGGCTTTGTGCAGTTTGCAAGTATTTTGTTGATGATTTTTGTATCTATGTTCAATAAGGATATGGGTCTATAGTTTTCTTTTTTGGTTGTATCTTTACCTGGCTTTGGTTAGAGTTGATGATGACTTCATAGAAGGAATTTGGAAGTTCTCCCTCCATTTCTATCTTTCTGAAGAAATTAAGTAGTATTGGATGTAGCTCTTCTTTAAATGTCTGATAGAATTCTGCTGTAAATCCTTCTGGTCCTGGGGTTTTTTTAGTCGAGAGGTTTTGTATTACTGTTTCAATTTCTTTTTATGTTATGGGTCTGTTTAAGCTGTTAATCTCTTCTTGGTTTAGTTTTGGTGGTTCCCATGCCTTTAGATATCCATCCAATTCTTTTAGGTTTTCAAATTTAGTAGCATATAGGTTTTTAAAGTATTTTAAAAATACTGTATCTTTCTGTATCTTTCTGGTGTCTGTTGTGATGTTTCCCCTTTCATCTCTGATTTTGTTGATTTGGAGGTGCTCTTTCTTTCTTTTGGTTAACTGGGCTAGCAGTCTGTCAATCTTCTTTATCTTTTAAAAAAAACTAGCTCTTGGGTTCGTTGATTCTTTGTATTGTTTTCTTTGTTTCAATTTCATTAATTTCTGCCTTGATTTTTGTTGTTATTGTCTGCTGGGTTTGGGTTTCGTTTGCTTTTCATTTTCAAGTGTCTTGAGTTACAATGTTAAGTCATTTATTTGTGTTCATTCCAATTTTTGATGTAGGCACTTAGAGCTATAAACTTCCCTCTAAGGACAACTTCCAGTGTGCCCCAGAGATTTTGTTGTGTTGTACTGTCCTTTTCATTGAATTCCAGGAATACTTTTATTTCTTTCTTAATTTCTCTTTTGACCCATTCATCATT